CCCACGTCATGTACTGGCCTGACGATGAATGACCGAAAACAATCGTTTGCCAGCACAACTTTTCGATCGTAGAAATGTTTGAAACTACGTGGAGTTGAAACACATTAAGGCCGCCACGTTTTCCCCGTATGATCAACCATCTCGACGGCTTCAAATAACAACAATCTCAATTTTGACCATCAGTGTTAATGGCCGGCTGATTTATTGAACTCTAGGTGGAACGTATTCGGGTTGATGTAAAATGAACAACAATTCGACTGTTTCTTGGAAAAAAATATTGTTAAATAACATTTCACAAGTATTTTCTTTAATGTTCGGCAGTAAGCACTGGCGGTCACCTTCGCAGTGATCTCCTCACACCCGTTTCGGCGTGCAATATGATCAGATTTAGCTAGGTGTTTGCATTCATGACTCGCTTAATCCAGTCAACGTTCGGTGCTGTTAATGTAAAAACGTTGAATCCCCCATAGCAGGCAGGGTTGCCATGATAAAGCACACCGTATAAAACCCATTTGGATCCGTTTTCCGTAAAACAGTGCAGTCCTCCTCCACTGTCACAGTTACAAGCCATCTGAAAAATACACGAAAATAAAATTTCAATGTGTCAGATCTTTTTAGGGCAGCCAATGTAAGGTTACTGCTCACTCCATGTGCGCCATGCGTACAAACGTCCTGCTGTTCTTTTATGAATAGATTTCTTGTTTTGCATAGATCTGCCGATATAATTGGAATCCGTAGTTCCATCAGCGTCTCCGAATGAACTGCGAGCGGCGCATAGGGTGGATTGGGGATAAATCCCCAGCCGGCCAGGTAGCAGAAATATCCAACGGGGAGAGTAAATTCGGGTTCCGGAAGGCATGCATATTCTGTCAGCGATGCTTTGAAGACAATTAAAAAGGCAGGCATGTTTTACCATACTAGAAATTTCAGTTCGAAAATTAATGGTATTCCGCATTTTGCTTATTTGACAGCATACAACATTTGCGTTCGTTCTGAAAATTGCACCGTGGATATTCAATTCTGATTAGTTAAGAGAAGCATATAGTGATGCTTATAACATGGCATAGGCAAGTATCGATAAAAAATGTAAATGTAAAGCAGAGAGTGTTTACGAAATTGTGAACGAATACGAGCAGTCATATATTATGTAATTGGAGCAGATGTCAATAATGACACATTTATTAAAATAGCTGCAATTGGGAAGAGCTTGTAGGTTAAACGTGAGTAGTGTGATCCGTTTGTAGTCCTCCTTAAGGTTCAGAGAACCACATGCCAGGCAGTGTTCCAATCTTCGGCCAGTACTTTATTAAGAAATTGTTCGCAATTGTTGGCGTTTGCTTATCGTTGGCCATTTATTTTGATGTGTTTGCGTAAAATAATATATGTCTGATGGCCAAACAGTAGAAGGAAATCGCAACAATTCGGAACTGGTAACACGTTCCAAATAAGTATTTACTGTTGACGATAATAGTTTTTTTTTATTTAATTCATACTAGATGTTGCATTTTGGTCGTACACACCCATTTGGTGTTGTTCATTTAAGTTAGATTACATGCAGGATTTGAGCAACCGGAGACTGGGTTCTATTTAGAGGCATAATCTATATTAAATAAATACATGGATTATTTTGCAGTTTAATCCAAATTTCGGCAAAAAAATTCCA